ACTGTTGTGCTTTAAGGCACTCCTGATTTACTTGTCTCTTTAATTTCAGATTTTTTCCTACATGCTATTATTTTGATTTCCGAGGAAGTTTATATGAAATATTATGGATTGTGAAATTAGTGACTTTTTTATAACTAAATGGCATGGATTTGGAGTAAAATTGCTCTCATAGAACATAAAAGCAGTATAAGCAAGGTGGCAAAAAAAGATAGCTTCTCCTCAGAGACTGAAAATGAGATAGTAAGTCAATGAGGCAAAAAGATAACACAGTGGCACTTCGTAGAAGTGGGGAATAAAGGAATACACACAACAGGGTATAAATCCGGCTGAAGTAGATTCATGGTGATTTGTGAAACCAATCCATGCAGCTTTTAGTACAGTGATAGTAGTTTGCACACAAACTAAAAGATGAAGATTTTTATACCCTTTTAGAGAACTGAATTTGCTACTATTAATCAGGTAAAATACCTAAGCAGAAAAATCAACTATTTGCTCTGGTTCAGCTAGTCTCATACCCTGTTGTTCTACAGAAGTACAAAATAAGAAAAAGAGTCTTTCAGATCTTCTACTAGTAACATGATGACTACATGACAGCTTTGAAGTAGCTAAAATATAATTTTCCTCTACATTTTGCCTAGGACAGATAGTGCTATCTGTTTTCTGTGTACTGTTGTCCAAGACCCCACACAACAGAAGCTTGCTCTAAAAGGATGAAGATACCATTTTTGGATGGCAACTTGAAACCCACAAAAACCAAAAGCATCATTTCAAAGGGAATGGAAGAATTGTGGTTTTACTGAACTAAATTTAGTAAAGATGGTATAGAAAAACATATATGGAGGTCCCAGATCTGCTTAAAAAAATACATCTGATTTCTTAAAAATATTTTCCAGCTGCTTTATATTGCTCTGGTCAAGCAGCTGTAGTCCATTTTACCTGGATGCTTAACCAACTGGAGCATACAAACAAGTACTGTAACACATTGTTTGCTTGAGACATCTGATCAGTAATTTCAATACTCAGAAAGAGCAAAGAAAAGGCAAATTATTCCTGGTTTGCCTGCCATCCATGTTTGCTGTCTGCACTGCCTCTTGTGCCACAGCCACAGTCAGATTTGGCAGAATTAGCAAGATTAGCTGACTCCTCACTGCCATACTTAGAATTTCCTCCCCCAAACCACCTAAACCAATCTTCGTTCATTTGTGAGATATGACTAGAATTGTATTTTTGAAAACCATTCAGTATTTATCATTGAAAATTTACTTTTCATTTGCAGGGTAAAATAGCCCTAATCTGAATTTCTTACCTACTCTGATTACAAAGAACCAAATCCCTGTATGTTTCAAGACTTTTTTTTTTTTTTAATTTATTCTTGGGATTGTCAGGAGTTGCTCCACAACCTCCAGGGATTCCCGCACCAAATCTTCAAGCACAGATTCCTTGGCAAGAAGTGGCTGGATACAAAAATAGGCCATTAGATAAAGGGAGAGGGGGAGACAAAATGATAAATGCTTGTAATTTTACTGCATATAAGAACCGAGGGCAGCAGCCTTCCTAGTCAGCGTTCAAGTATTTGGGATTAGGGCATATCAGAACCAACATGACCTACAGTCAACTAATCATTAGCCAGACAGCTATGACAGCTCTGATTATCCACTAGACCCTAAAATTTCAATTTTCATGAGAGTATTGGGAAATAATACAATTTTAATCTTTTCTTTTTAATGGGCATTCCTTCACGAGTAACGAGACAGTGGGGTTTTTTTACTATGCATATAACTAATCAGCTGAAATCTCACTACCTCTATATCAGTCTGCCTTTGTTTTTCCCCTATGCCCCTACTTAATTAGTTAAACCAGTATCTTCGTTTTCTGCATATGAGTCATCTGACACAGAGTCTTATGCAGGATTGTTATTTTTAGATTAGTGCTCTCCTCCAAACTAATTTTGTGAGATCTGCTTCTTGCGAGGGACACAAATTTTTAGCGCTGAGTATTGCAGTTTTCAATTAAACAGGAGCAGCAAGTTTCATCAGATATGTCCTTAGATTAGTCCCTGATGTCTTATCAACACCATCCCTCACCTCACAATTCTGCCTGACAAAAATTAGCATAAATTAAGACACAAGTACTTACGACATTAACTTGAGAATTAATTTGGACAGGGAGGGCAGGTGACCACGTTTGGAGACAAGGGACCTTGGCACTCAGCAACCATTAGGCACTCTGGGCAGATTTCTCAATTTTCTACCAAAGTTGTGCAATGGTCTACACAAAAAAATGCCATTTTCTCTTTCCTTTTCATCAAAATCCTGAACAGTGTTTCTGTCCATTGCAAATGGATGAAATCCTGTCATGTATGAAGCTGCAACTTCCCTGCCAATCCAGCCACTGTCTTATCTGCAAGCCAGTCTTTCCATCTTGCATCTTTCCAGGTATCATACTTAACCTTAAGTTAATCTTAACAATTGTCCTCCTTTAGGCCAGAAAAGAGAAGGAAAGAGAGAGAAAACAGTCCAAGACATGACAATCTTTCACCTGCTTTGCCTGTGCCCCAATGCCAACTGCACGTCCTGTAGACCCAATTAGTGTTGCGATAAAACTTAAATTAATAAACCTTTGTCTGACTTGTGGTGGGAGGGAAAGGAGATTTAACCCTTTTCTGATGGAAATATCTGAATAATAACATACATAAATGAAAGAAAAGTGGCATCAAATGCTTTCTATCTCCTCTTTAATTTTGTGAATCATAAATAAAAAAAAAATATGGACAGTATTAACATTTCAACACTTTATACATGTCTGTCATTTCTATTTGGAAATATTTGCATGTCATCTGACTTGCCATAGGGCAACTGTTATTCTGCTGGAATTACCTCCTAAAATTGAACAATTTTTGTTGCCTACAGCATTCCTTCAGCAAATTAATTTTTAATATACAGACATACGATATTGACAAGCTGCCCTTGTGCATTATAGCCTGTAACCTCTCTATCTATAAAGGACACACTGTTTCAGAGTCTCAGTCCCTATGGGCCAGTTTGTAAACTTACATACTCACTGTACTGAGTTTAAAGGGACTATACTTGTAAGTAAGTACTCCATGGGGATCCAGCAATTCACCATCCATCTTTATAAACATAGAAAATATGTTTTTTAAGGGACTAAAGATTTGGGTGGGAGAGGAGCACATGGGGAAGAACTGGTTTTTCAAATGTAGCACCGATTAGGCACTCAATATTCTTTGAAGATCAAATTGCAAACGAAGGATGCAACCAAAATAATTTGTCATCCTGGAAAAGCTTAGCAGGAATATTTAAACATTATTCTGTCAAATATCTCAGAAACAGATAAGATACAGACGAAAACTGAATACTACTGCATGGTCATTCATCAATGCCAACAGCAGTTTTCAGGCTACTGAAACATTTGAATATATCTCACAATTCTCTTCACTTGCAACTAAATTAAACATCCACAAATTGACATGCAAATGCTTTTTCACATATTACATATAGACGTATGAGAGATATTAAAGCTCACAATCTGCAAATTGTACTATAGTTTCCTTCTTAATAAAAGCTCTATTTATAAAGCAATGGTTCATTGGGCATTTTAGAAAGAACTCAAGGAAAATATTTTTGTTTATTCCCTTCTTGAATAATTTATATTTCTTTTGCCATGCAGTAATTGTGTCTGCTATTTAATTGCTCCCATTTAAGAGATAATAAAAGATATAAATCATACAGCTTTCAAAAGGTATCATAAGCAAGTTTTATGATCCCACCCTACAAACAGCAAATCCTCCGTGTATTGCTACTGAAACGATATAATTACATCACATCAACAATTTTTATGCTTTTCCTTGCTGCAGGCACCTAAAATAGCAAAATGGATTTTTGTTCAGTGGTAGATAGTCTGCTACAGTATCCCGTGCTTTGTCCTTTAGAGCAATCAACCACTATGAGCTCTAGGAAACCTGAGTGCTATGGTCAAAAAATGAAGAGATTCTTGGAAGAAAGGGGGTTTCTCTATTGACTTAAAAAATCTTTTCTAAACACTTACTTTAATGCTATCTATGTTTATTGCTATCACAAAGTCAGTGTTGCACCCATTTTTATAAACTTAAGTTTGTTTCAAATAAAAAAGAAATCAATCTTTAGAGAATGAGACAAATCAATAGGAATCTTCAATGATTAAGGACATGAGGATTTGATGATGATGAAGGCTACCTTTCAATATGATCAAACCCAATGGCTTCTAAATGCCCCAGAGATACAAAAAGATTACAGTCAATGATTACACAAACTCATCAAAAACAAAACAACATGAAGAAAATTCTTCAAATTGCACAGCATTTTAGTAGCTATGATTAAAATAAATTGCAGACTAAAGACCTACCAGAGGATCAAAGGCTGGCATGGTATCCCCTGTCAATTTCGAGAATATGTGTCTCATAAAGGCCACTTCCAGAATTATTTTACCCCTCAACACACTCTAGTCAAATTAACACTAATCTATTTCCACCACTCATTCTATGTGGCATTGCCCCAGCAATTAATATGTAATGTGTGCAAAGAGAAACTCCAGAGAGCTACATGTTTTGATATAACTACTTTTTTTTTCTTTTAAGAAAATCAGCATTGCAGATGCACTCACTGTCCCAATAGTTTTAGTTTATTCATAACTGTGAGAAGTAATGAGGTAGGAATTAATCAGGAATAATATTTTAGCTCAGCTCTCTTTCTTGATGATATTATTTAGACAAGCTGAACAAACTCTCTGTAGTTCCCATATTGCTGCTATTTATCTTGGAACACAGCAGGTGAGAGCAAGCATCAGTGCAGTAGCTTGCTTTCTGAAAAGTTCAGAAAAACACAATTTTCAAAGCAGTGGACTTTTTGCAATTCTTCAAGAAACCTCCTTTTCAAATAACAAACTCTGCTGCTCTGTGGATAAATCTAAATCTTAAAATGTACGTATTGTTGAGTGAGGTTTACTTGCCTTTTGAACTTGTAGAGGATGAAAGCCCCAACTGCAACTAGACAGATAACAAAGAGAACCACGATAGCCCAGTAGCCACTGCCTCCTCCAATCCTCTGAGAGTCTGAAATACAAAATAAAACAATAGTTTAGCAAGTTTTCTTTCAGATCAGTCACATTCTTGGGCTTTCTTTTCTATCTAATTGTCAGGTCAAAACCATTTTTTGTTATTTGTGTAACCTTTTCATTCCATATGTAGCCTCTCCATAAAGGCAACAATACAAAATTAACTGGTGACTTGTGGCTGAAGGACAGAGGAATAATTTAAAACCAAACAAAACAACAGATGGAGAAAGCAAGGCTTTGAACAACAAATGAACTCATCAAGGTCATCCATTGGTAAAGGCTGGAATGAACAGGGGCTTCCTTCAATCCCAGCCTTCTGGGACGGCTAGCGAATGTTAGCCCTTAAACCAGATGAGGTGCCACAGCAAAACTGTAGCACAAACCGAACCACTACAGCAAAACTGTACATTAAAGACTAGATAAAAGACCTGTGCATTCTGCAGAAAGCTGACAGATAAAACATCCCACCAGGGATATAATACAGAAAGAAATCAAGAACGTCCTGAAACAGATCATGAGGCATGATAGAATAGAAATATGTAACAGATATTTACTTTGTGGTGTTAACAAGTGCCAAATGAAAATATAAACATATACACATGTGCACAAGTATATACACATATATACACACAAGTATATATACACATATATATTTACATGTGTATCTCTATGCAACAATTACCAAGTATTTGTGTATATGTGTATATATACACATCTATATTGATTCAATTATTTTCTCCTTAACTTATCAGAACTCAGAGAGGCACCCACAGGTTGGTCTGTTGGGGGCTTTATTTACGTATTTACCTGAATCGGAGTCAGCTAAAGTCACTAAGACCCAGTATCCTCCCCTCAGAAAGAAACTGATGTTGTGTGCATTCAGGGCTTGCTTTATAGCCGCTATTCTCTGAAAATACAACAGAGAGAATATCAGATGTCTCGCACTCCGTTCTACCTTGAAAGACTCAATGCTCTAAAAAGGCAAACCTCTGGATCATTAAATGGTGAGAAAGTCAGAAAGCATTTGTCAGCACAGCATGAGCTGAAATCTTAAAGAAATTCCATATTTAAAAATCACGCTAAACTTCACGAGCTATAAAAGCTGAAAATGTCAAACCCTTATAGCCAAATCTTTCTTTCTGCTAAGCAAAGCCTTTAGGTTTATCCCATACGTGACAGATAGCATGTCATTTGCACACACTATTGGCTTTACCTGGGTCATAACTCAAACAATGCATAATCCATATTAAAAACTCTCAATTCTTCTAAACCCATCAGAAGAAAACCTGTGATGTCACTTTGCATTTCCTGCTATGAAAAGTAACTGTTATTTATAATGAACTGCATGTCATAATTTGCCTCACCTTCTTACCTGTAATGGGAGGGTTTCCATTTTTACCTAATTTTTAACAATGTTCTGTAGAAATATATATATTCATCCACATGGAGAATATCAGTATTCCTCATATTTTTCTCCAGTGGATAGAGCATAGTAAAATATGGGTTCTCACATTTTTATGGAGCAGAACCATTAAATATACCATCATACCCTAACTCCAGATGACAAACTGTCTGAATTTTCCCTTCTATTTGCTTGTGTCTTCAACATAGGCAATTTTCTAAAAGATTAAAGCTAGTTTTATACTCTATGACTTATCAGTTAGGATACAATTTCCACAAGATGCCAAATTAGAAATACACTTTATATCCATGAAACTGTCACAAGTAACTCCTTTTATGACATTATCAATTATGGTGCTCATTTTGACAAGCCTGCAGTATAATAGATAGAAATCCCTGCAGTCTCTCTCATGTTATGGACAGTGACTACACAAAAGTTCAAATATCCTCACTCACAGTGAGGAATATCTAACTTATGAAGTCATTCCACTGGCAGGTCTTTCAGGAATCTGACATTTACTCTGGTTTTTGCATAGGTGACTAAGGCTTGTTTGTTATTTCTCTCCCCACTCTTGGGTTCCCACCCAAGTCTGTATGAACTACGCTTCCACAGGTCAAAAAATTTGAATCTCATGTGAATCCAGACAAAGGTTCTGACTTATTTATTTCACTGTTAGACTGACGGTCGTTTTAGTAATCATAGGTGTGTTTTTAATGCCTCGAATATTGAGCAGAGTGCTGCCACCTCTCTAACTGTTCATAAAACAAATCCAGTGTTTGGAGCACCTTCCCAGACTCTCTAAGTTCAAAATTTTATACCAGTATTTGAATTTTCTATATTTTTTTCTACATCCTTTCCAATGATAGTATTTGAATATGTGAACACAATGACTCCTGCACTGTGGTATAAGAATGTAAAAGTAACAACATTATTCAAACTCTTACCACTCCCTTGCACATCTGGGAATCTGACCTGCCCTTCTTGTCAAAGCAACTCACTGTGGTACATGTAGTAGTTTATCTAGACAGAGTCTCAAATCTTCTTCAGAAGTATCCAGAGGAGTTCTACTTTGATACTGCTGACTTATTTATGATCTTTGTTATTGCTGGCTGCTTTTATCAATAATGACTCCTATTCTAGACCACAAACTTAAAGAGCATCACATCACAACATTCAGTGCAAAACACCAACATAAACTCCGCCAAGTAGGTGTTCTCTGCCGGACCAAAAACTTCTTGCCTTTAACAATCCTTCGGAAATAATAGAATATCCCAAATGTAAGAGGTTTTCAGCCAGGAATATATAAGTCCGCTTCAAGGGAAGACAGTTCATAATCATGTGTAAATTAAGGATTTTAGGGACACCTTCTCCAAACAAGCAGAAAAGATTCTGCGTTGGTGAGTCCATGCAAGAGTGTCACAACACTGACTTTGAGAACTGGCACTAGCAGCATGACAAAACACATTCTTCTAATGAAACATGATGAAGACCTTCAAGATTCTCTTCTGCTAACAGAAGAAAATGTAATGAATCTTTAAACAAGTGACACCATGAGTATTTTCCTGTTGACCAGTTACTAAGTTTATTTATATATTTTATTTATTATATTTCAGCATACTTCTTGAGTCACAAGGGATTCTAATACAAGACATATTTAATCAAAATTTGTGCCGTTCAATTCTAAATGAACAAAAGTATATGCACATATCAATACCTAAAATAGTGTCCCTTAGCAATAATATAAAAATAGAAATTTAGGCAACTGGCACTAGAAGTCTGGCTCTACAGCACTGCACTCTATAAAACAATTGATGTTGAAATGAGATACTAGAGAACTTGATTTTTTTATCATTGGATAGTACAGGCTGCTGTATTTGCTCTTGTCTCTATTTGTTCCTGCTCCAACCAAATGTAGGTTGTACCATATTTGCCATTTCCATATATGTAATCCCCAACCACCAGTGGTCTGACCTGGTCCATCCTAACAATGTCAGAAACATACATCTGTTCTTCAGAGTAAACAATTATTTTCACCTTTCACTGCTCCTCTTGTTTCAGAAAACCTTTGGAAGGTCTCACTGGAGGGCTGCTTGTTACAGAAACTATGCCCTGCTTAAACTACGGCAATTTCCCCATAGCCCCACTGAACAGAAGTTTTCCCAAATCATTTGCAACATGTGATTGTACTTGAGTAACTGTCAGGATATTTCACACACAAATGTGAAAAAACCCCTTGAGACAGCATTGATTATAATTGATGATATTCTTTAAGCTGCCTTGAAGCATGGCACGAATATAACAGTTGAGATTTAAAAGGAACTAATATGAATAACATTTTGCACTGAAATAAAATGTTTGCACAACCTATGAACCTATCACCATCAGTTCCCTTAAGTTATTAAAGACGTCCATTCCATACATGGTCAGAACAAAGAGAAAGAATTTCCTTTAGAACCTGCACCTTGCTTCTAGAAGAACTGGAAAGATTCAAGTGAAATTTGAAATGGTAATACTCACCTGGCTGAAAGCCATAGTTCATGAATGGCTCTCTACTAAAGAAATACCCTGTTAAAATTAACCATTTCCTGCAACATAATCAGTTTTTCAGACCATTTCCACCACGACTACAGAGGGAACTGTAAGAGTTTGCAGTTGCCACAAAGCAGAAAATTTTGCACGTTCACTCTATACTTTGTGGTTTTTAAAGTAAGACATCTGTTCAAGTACTTTAACAACATCAATATACTCCTTTGGACCTTCCAAAGCACATCCTATAAATTCCAAACACAATCTACTGTGTTAATATGAAGGCTTTTGTCTTAACTCTCCAGCTTTTTGGGTACTGCGATTGAAGTTGTAAAATGCTCTTAAAAATTAACAATACCTCACATTGAGACTCTTTGTAACTTGCAGGACTTAAACAGCAAGATACAAGCAGAGTGTGAGAATCTGTTCCTTCTCTGTCACAGCAGAAGGAAGACTATCATAATTATGAGTGCCAGTCTTCTGATTTTTAACGGGCATAAGGTCTTTTATTATGGAAGAAATATGGTTAGGAAATAAGAATGGAGAAACTAATGTCTGATTTTCCTTCCTCTGTTCTCCCTATATTTGCTCCTTGCCAACTGGAAAGGACATTTGCTCATAAAGGCAGAAACCCCTGCCTGATTCTCTTTACGTTATGGGTCAACTATTAAGGTTCTATTTCTGTTTGACTTGAAATCTAATTTCAATGCCTTCTGAAGACAATGTAGAGATGCTTCTAAATAAACTCTTTGCTCTACAGGATCTTCACATACTGACATGTCAGCACTCGTTTTTGGTTAAAAAACAGGTTGATATGAGTTACTCTTACGAAATACAGTAAGTGCTAGATCATGCTAGTCTATACACTGTCAAACACAGCAGTCATAGTTGTTGATAGCTCTTATATGTCTGTTGTCAGGCGGGAGCGAAATCTTTACAAAGTTCAGGAACACTTTTTCATTCCACTTAAAGACAACGAGAGCATAGTCACTGACCAAAACAGGATGAAGACCGTCCTAACCAGACATTCATTGCTCTGGTTACCTTATCACTAGTTACACTTCTCTTCCTTTTTGGTTGATTTGCTGGTAGTAGCACATGCAAGTCAGCAGTTGTGGGCAGACCAGGTTTCACGACTGTCATGAGTGTTTCTTCAGGAATATTAGTTTCCTGTGTAGACAAAGGCATACAGTAAATTATAAGACAGCGTGCTTTATATTTTATAGAAAATACATAAGTAACTCCACACATGTCTTTTAGTCTTTGGTGTTCAGACCCTTAATATTAAGAGGTGATTCCACCAGAATCTGAAACACGAACAAAGCTAAACATAAATTAATTGAAATGTGAGCTGTTCTTTGAAGATTGGAAGAGCTCAGCATTGTTATCACATTAAAGCAATTTAGTGGCATCATGGAAAGAAGCAAAATGAAACAGTATGCAGTTTTAGCAACACTCTACAACATAAAAAATATCCTAAATGATTTAAGATCCTTTGTGGGCCATTCAGACACTTAGTAGACTTAGAAGGGCATATTCATTATAGCCAAATTCAGCTAGGGAGACTACTTTTCCATCTGTGTTTAATGGTCAAGGAAGTCTTCCAAGGTGAGACTAAGAGCACCTAGGTTCAGTTCCTGAAATTATAATGAATACTTGCCTCCCCCACTGAAAGTCGAGTGCATCCCTTTTTCAAAATACTTCATGTAAATTTTCCTTTTAGTCCCAAATTCCTCATTTCCACCACATACTTAAAATGACAACACTCTGGGCACTTTTCGTAGCATTTCTCAAATATATTCTGAAATTCCATTAAAATGTTCTTTTTTTTTTGCAAATAATTTAGCAATTATCAAAATGCAAGGGCTTTTGTATAAGGGAGTGAAATATTTGCTTGGCTGGCCCTGGTTATGGAATGGCTTTAAATTGATAACAGTGGGAAATAACTTTAATTTTACAATTGATATGAACCTTAAACAAAAATGCAGGGAATGGTATAAAGTCAAAATTCCAGAACCTGATTTGCACTACTGCAAATCCAGGAAACATCAAGTGATTTCCAATACAAACATTTAAAAAAGCTATTGCTCTCACAAGAGCCAGCGTGTGAACGCTCTGCTGCTCGCAGTGTCTGTAGCTAAAGAGCAGAGCTCTCGAGCTCACGGTTAATGTGCTGCTCCTGACTTATCTCTGGCACTGCTGCATGGCTTTGCACTTGATTTAACCTACAGGATTCAGCAGGTCCATGTTTCTTTTGCAAACACGATCTAAAAAAAACAGCTGTAAGAATCGTGTGCCTATATATTACTATATATTATTTATTATACATATTATATATTATATAGTAATTATATATTAAATACTGTATAATATATATTAATTATCTAATATATATTAACCATATATCATATATCATTTTCAAAGTTACATGACTAGCACTGTAATTTCTTCCTTTCTGCTTTGTTTTTACACAAAGACTGCGTCTTTTATATTAAATGGAATCATTTGCTTAGCTTCTAAATATATCACCCTCTAAGTTACTCTTCCTGTTTTGGAGTCAGCAGTATTTCCCAGTATGTCTATCCCTAATCCCAGAGAGCAATATTTAGCATAAATTGCCATTTAGGCTGTGTTAGACCTAAACTGTATGTTACAATATCACCGTCTAGAGCCTGCAAGGAAAAGCAACACTAGGCTCAAACTTGTTTGAAATGTGTTTCATGAGGTTCACTTTATTGTTTTTTTCTGCCTCCTTTTTTCTAAATGAGAAGGCATTAACTTAACCTTCAAGCTTTACGACTGGCGAGGGAACACTTTGTGAGCAATGCGAAAGAGCACCTTTGCAAGAAGCCGTGTTACTACCCGCCCTATGTCTTCCCTCCACTCCGCTATGTCAGGGTTGTACATGTCCAGGTGCTTAGTAAACTTCAGAGGAAGAACGTGAAAATGATCTAGAAAAACAAAAAGAATCAGTTTTGAACAAGTAAAAAAACTGGTTGCAAGAATAGTTGTGTAGAAATAAAAGCTGAAAATACAATTTTTGTTGTTATTTGCTATGCAGCACGGCAGTATCTTGGAACTCCGTTGATCTGTGTTGTGTACTCTTGCATGGAACAAGAATACACTCCTGTCAGGCACATGATTTCTTTCTGCATTTTCATCAACATCATCAAATTTCTGGCTAAAGATAAGAAAGCAGGAAAAACAAAATAAAATTTAAAAAAATTAAAATAAAATAGCAAAATAAAATAAAATAAATAAAATAAGGTAGATTTACGTACGTGCTCTATGGTCATAATCTTCTCAATAATTGTTCTTAACACAGTACACAGACATGGTTGGTTTCTTTTATTTGTAAAGGGAATTCACCAGTGAGTTTTATTCTCACTGAATCCTAAACATTATGGGTTTTGCCCATTACTTGTTCCGGTTTTTAATGTAAAATGAATACTTCACGTACTCCATAAAGTAGCTATTGAAATGAGAACAGAAATTATATGACAAAGGCTAACTACTGCCCTCTTTGAAAAAATAAAAACAAGATAGACTCATACTGTCAAAAATATTGGAAGTACTAGAAGTGGGCTGTTCCTCAGCAAAGAGTCTCAAATATTTTCAGTTTCTTCATGTAGGCTCCTCGAATGAACACTTGGGGAACTTAATGCAAAGCAGAGAAAGAGATCCTCTGGAATGCTTAAGTCAAACCTGGCCTCTCCCACAGTTCCAACAGAATGGTATTTTAATGTGGTTTTCTTTTCCAAAGGTTCCTCTGTTTCCCTCACGGCCAGTACTTTCTTGCTATTGGTATCAGGATTGGCCAACAGGAAGAAGAGACGGAGCATTGGAAAGCCAAAGTCATTGACCTAGTTGCACTGAAAGGGTCACACTTCCAGAGATTTCTAAAAAAGTGGATGTACTTATAAGTAGTAGCATAAACATTACATCCATTTCTCTCAGGGAAGAAGGTTCTTAACAGCCCTAGTTAGCATGAGTGTGGTTTTTACTATTATTTTAAATTAAGTATACTAAAAGCAAAAATAGAACCTTCTTCAGACAATAGAGATGTATCAAGTTCATGATACCTGAAGGCTTTTAACCACTCATTAAAAAGAAGCTTTTTCACTTATCACACTTCCCACATGTGACAGCACAAATACAAACATAATTTGTTGGCACTACATTCTTCACAGTATATTTTGCCTTGTCACCCCATTGTAAGACACAACAAAACACACCAGGGCACAATGAGAAATAAGAGCTGAAACATTATTCAATAATTACAGCGGAGCTATACTTGATCCAAACTCTCAGATAAACATTAAAAGAACAGTGATATATGGTGATAAAAGGCAATTCTTTCACATTGTTCTTAATGCTGAGAGCATATACAGAACTAAACTTTCTTTTTTTTTTCAGAAGTATCTAAAATACTTTATTTAGAAATTCTGAGAAACTTTCTAGTCATAGACCAAAATACTAGTTAAACACTACTTTTACATATAGCATTTGGGAACCACAGTAACATTTAAAATAAGGAAAGGAAACAAAACATTTCAGATTAAACCCTTCCATACAATCGCGCTGGTTCAGCTTCATGGAGTTACCTAGGGACAGTTCTCCTCTCTAATATTAAAAATTAAACTTGGCACTAGATATAATTTTACACCAGGTTCAGTTGTGTCAGGGCTGGTTTAAGAGGTGTAAGAAATGAGTCCACATAAACAAACCAAAAGAAAAAAATTAAGAAGAGTAATGTCTCACCAAAAACGTGGACAACTTTTGAGTCCTGAAGCATGGAGCTCCCACAGGAAGCTTGCACTGTAACTCTGACATCACCTGTCTCAGCAAACTTTGTCACCAGAAAACTCTCCAATGTAAGGAGAGGCTTTAAAAAAAAAGAGAAGTTGAAAATAGAATTTCAGCAAGAACACAAAGAACAGCATCTGAAAAGACTGTTACCAAAAACACTAGCAAAAAAGTTTTTAATTATTTAATTAATCAACATTTTATCAAGTTCAATTACAATTTTCAGTATAGGATGCTTCTTTTCTTACACAGATTCTTTATAAACAGAACATCTGCCAGATAAGGCAAACATTGCTTTCAGAATAAATGGTAGAGTATTAGGTTTTCCTTCAGATGCCACTGAAATAAATGGATTTTGAGGCAGGCTCAACAATTCCTACAAGATCATATGTAGCAAGTCATTTGCTTCAAAAAATGTAGGGTATGTCAAGGTCAAAAGAATTAATTCTGTCGACATAGAACATGACCCATGGAAGTGCACCAGTCCGCCGCAACCTCCAAAGTGGAGCAGAGATACTCTGCTCCCTGACCACATTGGTATGAATTACAAACCCTTCACAAAATTACATCGATCTGTGGTGTCTGTTCTAGCAATGACAAAGTCAATAATAATGAACAGATACAGGCTTGGATTACTGCAGGCTGCACATTTACAAGAAGAAAGTTCATTGTGCTTATCTGTAGCATTCCTCTGTCAAACTTAGTCTGCCTCATTAAAAAAATACTTATCTGTTATTGAAAGAATTACCATAAAAAAAATTAACCCAGCTAGACAAGAAATATTCCCAACACAAATACTTGGATATATATGCTCTAGGATATGTTCATCGAGATTTTCTATCCCCAAATGAGTATCACTAGATTGAGTGCTCTCACTGTTTTAATATCCTTTTAGATGCCCATTATTTTTAATATGCCATTTTACTTTAGACTCCCAGAAAATATTTAGCTATATGATAAATATATTTCCATACAGCCCTTCAATTTATCATATTCAAATTATCAACACATAAGTATGTATATCCAAGTTTCATCATTCACCAATGCTATGATCCCAAACACATCTCCTCCATAAGTGTTTTTCACTTGGGTAATGAAATACAATAAATTGTTGATCACCCATGGAAGAAAACAGTTTAGAAATTCAAACTAATTCTAGAAGCGAAATTTCCATTCCCAAATAAGTATCAATAAAGGGAAATTAACATCTTAAATGCATGTGATAAAACACGGGCAGTTAGATACTGCTTGCCACCAGATATAACTGGTTATTTGGAATGGAAGATGGGTCTAAAAAAATTCATCCTACATGGTAGCATTCCTATTAAAGTAAATGGTTCCATTCAACCTTTATTGGAAACAGATTGAAAATAACGTCTGTCAAAACCATTCATGTACCTGAAGATTGTTGCCTATCCACCAGTAGAAGACTGTCAAATTAGGGTTCTTGGGCAGTATGATGGCTGTCAGGTTCACCTCTTGATTTCTCCCAATGACCGGAACCACTTCTAAATTTAAAGCCTGTAGTGGAGCTAAACAAAGTTCCCAAAATATCATTGAACAAGAATCCCTCAACTTTTTAATGCCTCCTTTCCCCAATATGTCTCATCTGCACACCATGTAAGGTCTTGAATTTATTTTTCCCTCCCTCCTGCTTTTACACCTATGTTGAAAGCTATGGGCAAAATTGGAAGGATCTCAATTCAACCAGAAATATCCATCCAAACAAGCCACAAACAAAATTCTAGAGCAATGAGATAAATCATGAAAATGCACCTTTCTGCTGCGTTTTTGTAGTGTACATTCAATTCTATAAAACATAATCAGATATCCCAGTTTAAAAGGGGGAAAAAAAAATCTCAGATTTTATTTAACTAATAAAAGATCAAATGAATAGAAATCTAACAAACTTCAGACTGCTAAGGGAAAAGCAGAAAACTGGAAAAGAATATTGCTGACTGCCTATTTTCTTTACAAAGTATCAGCCTTTAGGCTCACACCACACATAAACTCTCATTAACACATGCTTTAAAACAGATGTGTACATCAGGGGAGCAGTTACTTGCAAATCAATACAGATAACCTCTGTACTCCAAAATGTGCCTTAGAATAAGCTTATTCCTTTCTGAACTTTTGCCTATGAAAGCAGTAAACATTATTTGCATAAAAGAAATGAATCATGGCAATGATTTTAGCTGCTTCTTAACGTTGCATTTTGTCTCATAGTAGAATAACTTCATTGCAAAGCTTTACAATAGTATAATGTTAGTGAGACATGTCTAACTAGCTCAGGTTGCTCAGAGCCCCATCAAGGCTGACCTTGAACGACTCCAGGGATAGAGCCTCCAGCACCTCTCTGGGCAACCTGTTCAAGTGTTTCATCACCCTCATAGCAAAGAACTTCTTCCTAACATCTAATATAAATCCACTCTGCTTTAGGAGGCATTCAAGATCAGGCTTGATGGGGCTCTGAGCAACCTGATCTAGTTAAAGATGTCCCTGCTCAGTGCAGGGGGGTTGGACTAGGTGATGTCTAAAGGTCCCTTCTATGATGATTCTATGAATCAGAATATCTTAACCTCAGCTGCACCATCTGTTCAGGATACCAAACCACTGTATGTTCCAACACACATTCATTACACAGAATGATACTCATCCATTTTTGTCCTCTTTTGTTCATCTCATCACAAACTTAGAGGTAATTAAACTGGTCTAAAGTCTTTTTTTTTGTGTGTGAACTGAATCATTGCCTATTAACTTCTAATTCACTTTGACTATACTGATGGGACTTTTCTGAGAACAAATTGTCTGAGCTGTGTACACCCTCCTTTTCTACCTTCTTTCAACCAGCACATGTGGTGCTTCGTCTGAATGTAAAGCACTTCTTTCATTCTGTGTTTCCTTCTGATGACTCTTTAACCACCTCCATGAGTTCAAGATGTGCTGAGTGCTTAAACAAATGATTTCTTCAACAGCTCATTTACCGAAACAGTGTTAAAATGCTTCTCCTGTTATTGGTGTTGAGAAAAATTCAGAAACGGTAGGAATTCCATTCAATTAGTTCCTCCTAGAAATAGATTTTCCTTCTGATGAGGCAAATTGAAGAAGCCTGGAGGGATCTGCATCACTGTCTTGATTTTTTTCATAAATTTACGTTTTCCCAGAAGGACTGATCATTTTGAGACATGGTTTTGCTCCAGAATAAGGTTACCTTCTTTTCCAAAATTTTTAGAGGGGAAGTTGTTTTGTACTTAAATGGTGACTGTTATTCCACATCTGCCATCCCTATATATTAAAAAGCTCAGAAAAAATTACTGTGATTCCTTCTGCTTGTCTCAGTCACAACATGCCAAACGCATTTGAATAAGCTTCATAGCATCCTTAAGTGTGTACAGTTAGGAATGAAGTTGACTTACACAATTTCTGTTTAATGAAGCTACAAGCTCAGTACAAATTTCAAAGCTCCTTGATTATCCGCACACTATTGAGATTATTGCTTCCTGAAAATGTATACCTAGTTCTTCAGTTCTTTTTATTCTGGGTTACCTACTCATGTTTATACTACTAGACTTGCTCTCACTTCTCTCACAGTTCGTTAACAAATTGTAGATTGTGTGAGCTAGATCAGAAAGCAAAGGCCAAAGTTCCTATAATTGTCCTGCACTACAGAGCATCCCATAGCAACAGAACTTTCTTTTAGCATTCGTTCCTGAAAAAATTCCCTGGGAAAACACCAGCTGGAGATAAAGTAAAAGTAGGACTCCATGGACTTTTCTGCTTTCATGGTATTCCACAGTGAAAAATGTCCCTGAACGCTATTAGTGTTTCTGTAGAATGCAGAAATAGCATTTAAATTAGTGCCAGATAATTTCCTCAACTCTTCTAATTTACTTAAAAAATTAAACAGAGTAAATCACATAGAAAGCATTTATTCAAGTGGGCTGAGTGATGTGCTTCTGTGAGTCTTCTAGACTACGCACAGTATGCACAGACAAGCTCAGGAACGGACCATGACTGTGCCAGTGCTCTGCTGCTGCCTCTACACTTCGGCACCGAAGTCCTCCTAATGCACCAGGCATTTTACTTGTGAAAGATCCCTCTGCAATTTGTAAACCCACCACTTAAAACACAACCGACATCTTTCATTTTTACTGTTTATCCTGATGCAGGCCACACCAGAGGCACATTGTGAGAAAGCGGTTGTTCCACTCTCCGTGAGGGCTTGCTACTCCTTGTCATTCTCTGAACAGCAAGAAGTTGTTCTCCCCAGAGAGAAGGATGTTTGTTGCTTGTATAGATTTACTGTTTCTGTGCTTAATCTACTTCTGAGCACCTAGACGCTCCTAAAAAGCAGCGGAGAAGTCCTAGGTAATTTATCTGAGCTCTCTGGAGTTGTCAAATGGTTGAAAACCCAAACACAACAAAGAAACAGATAATGAAACTGAGGCAGAGAATTCGATTCTGATCCTCTCCATTTGATTGTAATAGGACATTGGCCATTAGTATTAATGGGTTGGGCTCTATGTGGTAATGAAAGCAGAACTGGAAATGCTGGACTCAAGGATTCTGACATAAATGTCAGCAGTCCCTAGACAGGCTGACATAAAGCACACGGATCTATGCACAGCCTTGTATGTGGCTCCAGTGATTTCCATTGCTTTGGGATTAGGATGGAAGACACATCACTCATAACAGGGAAACAGACACCTGGAGAATGCAAAATGAGTATTTTTTTCTTTTTGATGTTATTTGTTTCTAAATTTCTGACACATCTAAAAACAGACAGAGCAATAGCTGTCTTGAATCTTGAAGGAAGAGGAAAATTCAGTTCCAGTTATGAGTTTTCTTCTTCATTTCAGCTATGAGATAACTGAGGTACATTAAGCTTGCAATGGTGCATGATGCTTCCTGTGCCATGCTATTCTTTTCTTTAAATCTATTTGATGGGGTATTTTAGTTAATAATTAAGGAGAGGGAGAGTGAGACAAGTCTAAGTTAAATAATGCTGCCTGCCAACATGGCTATACCCAAGTATCACTCTAAAACTACATAAAATCTAGATTCTAGTACTTTACTAAGTAGCCTGACTTGTAGAAACACTGAGATTTTAGTTCTTTTAAAAAATTATACAAGAGCTCATGTGTTTCTTAACACATCCATTCACTTGCTTCACACAGCACCTAGAAGCTCGTAAAAAGACATAGCTTGAAGTGTTAAATTTTAGCTACTAAGACTGCCAATGTGGTGTCAATTCAGAAAGATGGATCAAACCCAAGATTTGAATTGAGGCATGCTTGCTGTTTAAAACAGTAATACACCATCCCTCCCTCAAATAAGAAAAACCACCAACACTCTAACTGACATCCCAATACATTAGATTTACAAGCCTCTGCATTAATAACACACAGCACTGCAAGACTGTGTGGTGTTACTGAAAAAAAATGCATTTTTCCTAATTGTGACTAGTAATTTTCTTTAGTACTTCATAGTTCTCATGAAGTTTTACAGAGCAGCAAAAGTAAGAAAATCAAAGTGCTGATTTACAATTGACTTGGACGAATACCACAGCCTCATCGTGCCCAGCCACATTCTCAGCTTTCACTGAGACACGGTAAATCCCAGGATTGTCATAGCGGTGACGGATGGGTTCTCCAGTCATTGTAAGGTTCACGTATATTGCCTTAAAACCATCTCCAAGATCCACCTGGTATTTGGTATTCAATATATCACCCTAAAAGAAAAATATATAAGAAATACTTTGAATGGTCGGAACCAAAAAAGACAGGACACATGACTAAAACCATTTTCTGAATCAAAACAGCATTTCCAGCCCCAGCCAGATATTTTGACTCAACTGTAAACATTGCAGTACAACTACTACACCCATGGAAGAGATTTTAGTGTTGCGTGTATTAATAGAGAATACAGAATTTTCACAGAAAGGGGCTATCTTAAGATACATCAGACCACTAACCAAGTTGTATGACAGAGAAATCATCACTCTTGTTTTAATGCAGCTGGACATTAACTAACAGAATGGTGCAGGGCAGCCCAAGTTCTGGAGTGATGCTCATATGATTGCAAACAACTGTGAATTACCACTCATCCAGTAAAGTTCAAGCCTAGGGAATTATAAAGTAAGGCTAATTGGTTTAGATGTTCTTCACAGCACCTCCCAACCACATCCTCTGAGTGTCAGCTACATGGACTTCCATGATGCAAGATGAGATCTTTGCACTGACATATTACACTGTACTGTGTTATACAGAGCTACCAGCACATCTAGAACTAACATGTTCTACTGCAAAATTACACGCATCCTTAATGAAGCAGATCATTGAGCTGAGTTTGGGAAAGGGTTTAAAATTCTAGCCAAAGAATTCTGGCATGTCAAACATCTTATAGAATTTATAATTCATTGCACTTCTAAGTGGTCCTTTAAATGACACTGTCTTCCTAAACTCAGGCCTAAAATAATGCAAGACTAATAGCACTGTCAGAGGACAAACATACGCCCATCACTCATACGTCCATCAGTCATGTCACGGTGTGGCTGCTCGAGAGAGAAGTCAAGACTGTGCTATGTGGACTGGTGATGTGGATGGAGTCAAAGGAAAATTAATTCTAGCTCCAAGTAGCAACCCTTTTCCAATACCACTGGCAGCACTGCCTTAGCGAGCTGCCCTGCTTCCTCAGTCTTCAGCACTATGTTCCTCCTTGCTTGCCGCAGTACATGGTCATCACAGTCATGCAGTTAAAATAGGTTGCAGGGCCAAGCGTGGTAGAAAATCCTCCGTATGTGAAAACACATTGTTGGTTTAAAAATCTTTGCTGCCTTTAGGAAAGGAACATATACATCCACATGCTAGTCAGGTGACCCGAATGGCCATCAGAGCAGAGAAGGACTAACATCCGCTGAAGTATTCAAAAATCACTTCACTTCCCACAAGCCACTCTTTGAAACAGGTTTGTATCAAACACCAATCCCAAAAGGCAGCACTAACGTAAAATCAGAGGAGGCAACAGAGCCTAGAACTTACATACCTTGGCATTATAAAGCAAAGGAAAACATACTATTATTCCCTCCTTTTATTATTTTAAGTTTGGTTGATTTTCTTCCATGTTTCATCAGATGAAAGAGCATTGCTTATAATGTAAAACAATACCCATAATAAGCAACCTGTAGGGTTATCAAATACTTAAACACCATATTTCAACACACATAAAGGACTCTGAAAGCTTTTTCTCTGTGAATATTTTTTCCAAATAACATCTTTCTTTTGACAACAGATGGGTAGGATTTAGCAGGGGAGATAATATGTTATTAAAGTTTAAAGCAAAAGAGATGTCTTCTTGCCAGAAATGTGCCAGTAAGTGGAATCTCTTTAGATGACATTAGCTAGCAAACAGTTCTTGTTTGCTCTTTCTTATGCTAACAAGTATACATGCATATCTTTTTCCAGGTGAGACAGAAAACAGTGTTGAAAGCTAGTAGATGCAAGCTTCTCTTAATGTTTTATTCTAATAGCTTCCCTAGTGTAAAGATGAGTGTTGTCTTCAAAAGACCAAGGCACTTCTGTTTCCCTGACCACAAAAGACAGAAAGGCAGTGGACAGATAAGAAGAGTCACATAGAGAAAGGCAGCCAAATTTAAAAGGAATTAGGGATTCCACTTCCATGCAAAATAGATGATTGTCATGACATTATTTATTCATACATCCAGCCAGCAGAATTTAGGAAAAAGATAATTATAAATTTTTATTATTTCTAAGGACACTTGCAACTTCACAAATATATTCTAAGCCTGCTTTCCTTACTCCCTGCCGTCTGGCTTTCCTGCACCTAGTAATACACATTCACATAAACTAGTAAATTAATTTTGTTCAGGAGAGGGAGTGGTATGCTTTGGTTTGTCCTAGTAGAGCTGTTTCTTAAACTCAGTAACTGTTACGAATTCTCATTAGATTTTGTTATACAGATTAAAACCTAAGCAACACTCAGGACATTCGAATATAAATATTATTCTCAGCTATAGGGGGCAGCAAACTGCTACATTTCTTCTAAACCTCCCTTCCACATCCTCGGCAAAGGCTTCATCAGAAAACACAGCACGGGATTCCCTTCATCAAGATCCCTCACTTCTATAGATTTTGGAATAGTTATACAAGCTTTATGTATTGGCACAGAGATTCATGAAAGCTTCAGGAGGAGAAAAAGTCAAACTTCCAATCAAAGTCATTAGAGTCCAAATTGCAACCAAATGCTCTGTTCTTACAATAAACATTTCCAAACAAATTATAAAAAGAGAAGGCAGCAAACTGCTGGGGCACTGCAAGCACTGGGATGCAGAGCCTGCGAAGCATTAAGCAGGCCGGTGCTCTGCACGTAACCTCCTTGATTCCATTATGGAAATCAATCCCAAGTGCCCGATTTATATTGCACAGGTTTGCCAAAATGTGTGAACTATCCTCAAGTTCTCGCAAATCAGTGGGGTTAGCCAGGAAGTACAATACTCCAGTAACCTGAGCAGAGCAGTTATAGCCTAATGCTAAAAAACAAGCATTAGGAAACCCACGACAAACAACTCATCCAAAAGTTACTCGCTGCTGTTGGTCAGGGCCCTAGGGCACTTTCTATCTCAATAAGCAGAAAAAACCATATCGCTGGCAACACAACTAATACATAATAAATTTTCCTGTGCTGTGCTATTTGGTGATTTTGGTAAAGCTTTGTCTCATTTCTTTCTGAAATGCAGATTCTCAAAAAAAACTTAAACCAGAATATTAAATGTTCTCTGATACAGCAGTTGAAATTTTCAGTCCAAGGAGACTTCAAAAATTTACTTCCTTTGATTTTCCAAGAAGTCATTGCCTTTAAGGAATAATGACTGTGCTGCTGAGGAGACAAATCCTGTTCTGTGGAAGGAATCTGGTGGTTTACTGAGCTTACCAGATTGTCTGATCCACCTGAAAACAGAAGTTTCAATATTGAGAGAGTCATTCATCTTTGTCTCAAGCACAAATTAATCTTCTTCCAGCAGCAAAGCAAGTAGGAGTGAAATGAACCCTAAAAATAGCAAGGAAACTTTCAGAAAGCCAACGTTCATTACTACCTGCTCCTGTCTGACGATGAAGGTGATGTCTTCCCCAGGCTTAACAGCCAGGCTTTCTTCTCTGATGCTGATCTGCAGCCCCTTGGGAGCAATCAATGGACACATATGCTGTGCTAAGTTCTGCTGCAGGTCTACACCTCCCTCACACACATTAGAAATAACTTTCCTGTACCTGCAAGAAGAGTAAGCAGTGAGAATAGTGAATCAGGTGAGCAGGAGAATGCTATCAGAGGCACTGAATGTGAGTGTGATGGTAGCTGACAAATATTCCTTGGGTTCACAAGCAGGCAAGATTACAGATAAAACCAACTCACGGTGCAAATACTTGGATAAGGAACATTGCCTGTACTGAGTAAACCCTGTTGAAGAAGGGGGGTTTGGAGCATGATGAGGATTTCACTTGTTTGCACTGGAAGAGTTTGCCTTTCTGAATTTAGAAACATGTCTGATCAGCCCTCCAGGAGTTAGATAGTCTGCTGTCCTCTCTGCCATATCCTTTCCTAGCATTCAGCAGTCTTCAGTGCTCTAGAGATCAGGAAGAAATTAGACCAAGCAGCTTCTGTATTAACCCAGAACCAATTGCTTAACTGCTGGTTTCAAATCTATGCACTTCTTAAAACACTTAAAAGCATTTACTTAACATAACAGTATAAAAGAGTAAAAAGCCTAACACTTCTAAAGAACTAATAATGAAATACTTAGATGTGTATAGTAAGCATTTACAGATCAGTTTCCCTCAGGTATGTTATTTTTAAACATCCTTCAAAATCAGGGTCAGATTTCACTCTTTTGAATTCCTATTCTGTGTATCACAGCTGTCAGCTACAACCCAAAAGGCATCATTTTCCTCAGTGAGGCAAATGTACACAGAGACCGTGATTCTATTGCCAGATTTGACATTTCATTCATTTGGTTCTCATCTCCACAACCGACAGAGATGATGTTATGATAAGGCAGAATAGATGCCAGCTGCAAGCTATTCTCAGCACAGACGTCAGACTACATAGTATATTCCATGCAGTATTGTTTAGTTACTAAAGCTTTCCTTTGATTCTGAGTATCCCATATGGTCAGAAAAAGAATACATTCTCCACAGAACTCCTTATCCCTATGGAAGCCAAAGACTGAGAAGTTCCGTGAGACGTTACTGGCTCCTCAGAGTAATTCATTGGATTCAAACTGAAAATTGGAAGATTCTACATATGCTCTAAGTCAGAACTTTTGCATTTCCCAGTTTTTACAGTTTGCCTTATTTATATTTCCTTCAAACCACTTTAGTGGCCCTTGGTCAGAATGTTCTCCTCCTCTCTGGCGGCCTCGTCAAGCCAGTCAAACACAAAATAAGCTTACCCAGTGCTGCTGGTGTATGCCTGCCCCAGCACGCAGTCTTCAGGAGGTGCTTCTGGGTTAAACCAAAAGTCAGCAAAGCATTTGCTAGACTCCGACTTTGGGACTGCGGAGCGCTCAAAACCATAATCACTGAAAAACATCAACATCAAGTGTGTTACTATCTCCACTTCATTCAGCAGTCTAATCTAGGGAGGATGAGACTGCTTTTCTAAGAGTAAAAAGGCTTTTTTACTATTATTCTACCAGCTGAACATACAAGTCAATGAAGCCAGTTCTGTTCACAGTCTAATTTCAATGGGAGTTGTGTACACTTGGGGGAAAAAAGTGGTTGCAATTACTTTGTCAGTTCTGTAAAATTAGCTCTCTTGGTAGCTTAGATTTTTACAGGGTTTCCTTTGCCACTCAGACCAACACATTTTTTTCTGGTTTTTTTCACTTCATCTGCAAATAGAACGGGTTTCCTTGCCTTATAAATCAATCCAATGGTCATTTTTCAAGTTTCAGTCAATAGAGAAAAACATCAGAATTTGTTCAGTCGGGTGAAATAAATTCTTAAAACATAGCAATCTTTTTAAGCAAAGGCAAATGTCCACAGAGAGACTCACCATAAGAAATCAGAGTTCACACATTCACAGACTTTGGATGTGAGAGCTGATGTGAAACTTCTCCCTTTAATGCACCATGATGAAATCTTCCTCTTTCGAAAGCTCCTCTGCTGGCCCATGATGCAACGATCACCCTGAACATCAAAGCACCAGTCTTATTGCACACCATCATCTACACCACACAGATGCCGTCACCTACACCACACACCCTGTGCTTCCTGAGAAAATCTGGTTTTGCTGCCAAGACTACAAACTCGTATGAACTCTCTCATATTCAAAAAAACTCTCATATCTGCTGCTGTCCACTAACAGGCCATTACGGAGTTGTAACATAAGCTTTATTTCAGGGCACAAATCCAAAGATATACAGGAAAATTCAAGTGCAATTTAACCCATTTCAACTGTGCACAATCTAGGCACGACCCTACAACTGGCCACTTAAAAATTCAGTGTGGATGCAGATGGCTGAAGGTCTGTGTAAATCACAGTGTCTTGGCAGTCAGTACAAAGCACCAACCATGTGGACACAGGTAGAATGAAGACTACATGAACACACTCCACTGGTAACTGGGCAGCTGCAAGTACTCTGTCAAAGTAATTTCAGTAGTTTCTAATTTCTGAAAGACATTACAATGCCAGTATCCCAAGATACTGTTAGTCTTCTGGCTCATATTGCATAATATTCTGTATAAACAGACAACATTCCCAAACAAAAAGTGTAAAATGAGGCATGAGAACTAGCAAGAGAGAGCTGGAGAGCTGGAATAACATGGAGCATTATGCAAAAAAACCCCAACCCTGCAGAGAGTGAGAGAACAAATGTACTGGAAGAAGTAAAACATGATTATCAGTATCATTATGAATAAATATGAAATTCTATTTAATATAAAAGCCACCTCACATTGGTCTCTTTAAGTAATACGTTGTATAGAGAAGGTAGCATCCGAAAATTGGATTTGGCCAGAGCACCAGGATTAGTACAGCCTTAATACATAACTGCAGATACGGTATTGCCCAAAACAACTGGACTATATTACATGACTGGTCCACTGAGATCCTAAATTCTGGAACAGGCTTATGGCAACTTATATAAGAATAGAGGATGTGCTCAGGAAGTTGGCAGAACACATGACTGCATGTTGAAATTGCTTCAATCAATATTACACACTTTAGTTTATGGTATAAGCTTCATAATCCAGTAGGACCACCTATTATTATGGAAAACCAACAGATCCAGCTACGCCTTTCCCAGGACACTGGTCACAAAACCAAAGGGAACATAAAATCCTCTTCAATTTTAAACCACTGTAAAATCAGCAAATACCAATAAAAAAGCTAGGGATGTAGCATTCAAATTCTATTTGAGAACATTTTCCTAGCACACAGCTCTACACAAATCTGAAAGCTACAGAAAAGTTGTGGCAATTAACATAAGACCCTCAATACCTGTAGATTTGTGAGCTCCCAAGACTCATAGTCATCATCAGTGCACTCCCTGGGGAAGGACGGTCTGAAGTCCACCTTCACCAGTTCCCAATCTGAACGGTAGCTAATGTGTCCAAAGACTCTGAACAAAAAGATTAAAACCAAAATCTTATTGCAAAGAAATACCATACATCTGAGGTTCACGTTTTCAGTTCTACCTTTTCTTTTCCATGGTCACAGTACCCTACTAAATGGTCCCCAAATAGTTTTTCTTCCACTTGTATTCCTCCTCATATACAATGTGTCTAGTTCAAAAACATTTGCTATTTTTCTATGAAACTACAATAAAAAAATGACAGCTCATAGATTTGAGATCCCTTTTTTCTTCAGCAAACTATCCAGAAATTAAATTTTCTAATTTGGAACCCAACATTTTTTCCTATTATCTTCTTATAAGAAACAGACAGAGCTCTTGGATTTTGACAAGGAGCTCAGACCAGGGAGCAGAACCCAGGATCACTGGATATGATTTCCAGCTCTGTCACTCCTTCCTCATGATTAAAGTGCAACTTCTTCAGTTGTTTTCATTGTTTGTTTCTTAATTTCTACAGATTTCAGATGGCAATTTGCTATTGTTTAAACTCACAGCATTATCACAATTTTGTATTAATTTCTAAGGAATACACTGCATCTACAAAACTGTGCTAAAGAACTCTGAGTCTCTTCATTTCAGATAGCCCAATGTATAACAAAAACCATCCACAAATGGTAAATTTCTTTTTGAAAAAAAAGGAAATCTCATTGACCAAGCTGCACTTTCAAAGCAGCCAACATTTTCAAAGTCAGAATATATATTTCCAAAACAAATATATTTGTGGTTTCTATCAGGCTTATGTGGCTTACTTGCCAAAGAATTTAAGGTTGATTCTGAAGCCAGTAATTCAGTGCAGTTCATACTGCACAGAGTTCATATGCCAAGCTTTAGTAGAATTCTCCAAACTAATTCATTCCTTTTGTTTTGCCCTCAATTTTGTCCAAATTTAATGGTACAATTTTGCTGAAAGTATTCTGCTGTGCACAGTCATTCCTCTTGTCCTGAACTAGCAGGTTCAAAGTGGAACTAGGGTAGACCAGAAATGAGGAAATGGTGGATTCTCTGCAGCAGAGGGGCATCATGATCACACTGAGCACCTTCCCTGGTAGATGGATGTGGAGCTCTGGTCTACCAAAGAGGCTGAAAAAGTTGCAGTCTAGAAATACGCAGTGATTTCCTTCTTTTCTCTCTGGTGTCATTCCTTCTCAGTCATAGCACAGATGCAGATATCTACAGATTACTGCCCATACTGCTCACACTATAATTACCGAACAATCCACGCTTACAGGAATCTTCACTATCAGAAGTGCATTTAATTAAACAGAAACACTTACACTCAGATCATATGTTTTACCTTTTTCTTGAGCCCTTTGAGATTTAAGGACTTGGATCATCTACGTTCTTTCCTTCTAAAAGTACTCACGGCTCAGAAGTAGAAACAGTACACAAATACTAAAACATGGGGCTCGGTCCACTGGCTGTGTGTGCACATAGGTGTGTGGTCCCGCTTCCTTCACTGAGACCTACAGGTCTGGTTCCTTTTTTTTGGTTCAGCTGCATCCGAAGACCTGCTGTCACCATATAACCTTATTCACTTGTAGTTACATGCTCAATGAAGTGACTACTTAGGTGGTCTCACGCTTTTTCCACAACGCTTGCTTCAATATGACTGGCTTTGCTGACAGACATGAAGTGTCTTTTGCATGCTAAATACCTGTGAGTTTTTCTTTTCTAAATCGTGTTTTCTCCATACAAGATACTAATAAAAGGCAGACTTCACCATGAGCTTATGCAGCTACCTACCTCAGCGAATGCTTCTTTAGAAACCACAAAACTTGGTTGCATTTCATTTAATAACTCATTTATCAACAAATATGTTCAAGTGCAAGGAGCCAAGTCCTGTTAAAGCTTCACTCCTGCCTCAAGTATTTGCTATAGAACAAATGAAATTTTCTTCATTCGTGTTAGCTATTTCAGGCAGATTAGCCAGGAAAGAAGAGAGGAGATGGTTGTTTGAGTTCATTGCAGAACAGAATAATGAAATTCTCCTGAAAGAATAAAACAAAATCTCTGAACTACTAACAATCATCTTTTGAGATCTCAGAGAGGATGAAGGTGATTCCAGATAACTATGAAAAAGAAAACATTTTTGCCTATATCTATGACTCTATATATGTGCTGGGATAGTGTTCTTTTTCCTCCTAGGAGCCAGTATGAGGCTATGTTTTGAATTTGTGCTGGAAACTGCAATGATTACACGGGGATGTTTTAGTTACTGCTGAGCAATGCTTAGACATAGGTCAAGGCCTTTTCTGCTCCTCACCCATCCCACCAGTGAGGAGGGTGGTGGCACACAAGAAGTTGGGAGGGGACACAGCTGGGATCGTTGACCCTAACTAACCCAAGGGATATTCTGTACCATATGATACTATCCTTAGCATTATAAAGCTGAGTGAAGAAGGAAGAGATGAGGGATATTTGGAGTGATGGGTTTGTCTTCCCAAGTAACCATTACATGTGATGGAGCCCTGCTCTCCTGGAGATGGCTGAACACCTGTCTGCCAATGGGAAGTGGTGAATGAATTCCTTGTTTTGCTGTGCTTCTGTGCGTGGCTTTTCTTTACCTATTAAACTGTCTTTATCTCAACCCATGAGTTTTCTCACTTTTACTCTTCCAATTATCTCCCCGTCCCACTGAGGGGGGAGTGAGTGAGCAGCTGCGTGGGGCTTAGTTGCCAGCTGGGGTTAAACTACAATATATGAACCAACTAAATAGAGCCTAGGGAGTTACAGAATTAATTTTGATATCCACAAAGATACCAAACAAATTATTAAGCTATCAACTTATAAGCACCTTGGAGATAATTAAAATGATAACAAACAGCCACCGTGGATTTGTCAAAACCAAATCATTTCAAAGTAATGTAATTTCCTTCTTTTAGAGGGCAACTGGTTTAGTGAATAAAGGAAAGGAGAAAATCTATTATATTTTGACCTTTGTTAAAACTGTTACACTGTTCTAGCTGACATTGCCTCACTGTAAAAAAAAAAAAATCAGTGCAGATAAAATCACTGTAATGAGGAATGGGAATACATATCCAGTTAGAAGAATCCATTTTCAAAAAAGCAGTTGTCAAAGAGGGAAATATTTTGAGATATGTATCACAAAATATGATGAGTCCACAGTCAATATTTTCATTAACACCTATATGATCAAGTAACAAACAGAAAATTTTGTAGACAACATAGAAGGAAGTGAGCAGACACTGACTGATGGAAGCAAATCTCAGAAATCAACACGATGACATACTCCAAAAACAACTGCAAAAAGTAGTCCTAGGAAAAAAACCAACAAAGATACAAAATCAAAATGGAGAATAAATTTCAAATATCAAAGAGAAAGCTTGGGAAATTTTGGGGAATTAGAACAAGAACACGATGTTTCTGCAAAACAAGACTAATTCTAGGTTGTATTCAGAACTGGAAAACAGAAGACATTTAGGCAATTATTTTTATAAACTTGTCACTGGTGCAGCCTCTTAAAGAATATGGTGTCTAATTTTGGATATTATATGCATATTTGCACACCCACTAAAAATGAATTTGAAGAAGGCCAAGGATGACTCATAAGCTGCTTAGAAAATGTAAAAATTAAAAAAAGATTGAAAGAATCGGGTCTCAAGCCCACATCCTATAATTATATAAAAATTACAGAAATTATTCTAGAAATTTCATAAATGCTACTAGAATAATATGGAAACTATGTGCAAACTATATGTGTATACACCAACAGTGCTGCTTCAATAGCCAAACTATAAGCCTGTGGATTTTAAGCAAAATATAGAAATAACCTTTCTATCTGTTAGTCCAGCCTCTGGCAAAAAAAAGCAAAACAAAACAACCTTCATGTCCATTATGAGTAAAATGAGAAAACCATGTTCTGACAGAGCACAGTAACTACACCACCGATTCCACCACTCTCTGGCTTAAGTAAAATTTCTGAGATTTGAGGAAGTGTCCCAGCACAGAGACAGTAACATCTGTTGCCCTGTTGAGGACAGGGTTTTATAGATCCATCAGAGAAGCCCATTTAAATACATTCCCAAATATCACTAGAATTAAAAGAAGTTGGTTTTTTTCCAAAGTAAGAAAGGAATATTTTAAGTAGAATTCAACAGATTAGACAAAAATATGACCTAAAATAAATCAATTCATAACAGCAATCACAATCTAATTGCTGAGATGCAAAATATATATGTCCAATAAAATAATACGAATAGAAAAAAATAGAACGGTGCAGCGATGATTAGAAGTTAAATAACAAGATGATAGTAATTCATAAGCTACTAAAACCTTCTTCTTGATTAATTATATTTCATTAGAAAGCCATCAAACCAATTCTGTTGAAATTATAAAAGATGATGCTGTGATAAATAATTGTTGAAAGAAATTCCAATTACCTTGAAAATTCACTTACTTTTATTTGCAAGAATTTAGCTTCCATTATTTTAACTTCAGTGTTTCAGTTGCCATAACAACTTCATACATTTGTATCTAGTTCATTTATGAGGCCATAATTTTTTAATTTGATTGCATCATTTGATAGCTAAGACAGTTTAATGCAGTTTTAAGTTAACTCATTTAAATTATTTGCTGGAGGATTGCTGGTTATTTCTGTTCCTAATAAAGCTCATAATCAGAGGGAGCTAATTTAACAGAAATTATATGCAAAGATAATATTTTCCAGTAAATTCAGGTTTTTTATTCAATAGAAAAGAGCATCTATTCAATAGATGTTCCTAGTTCAGATGAGCTGTGTCTCCTGCTGTCTGTGTCACTTGCAAACCACCTGGCAGCAGCTACGACAGTGCTGATGCTGGAAACTCCCAAAGAGTAAACGTGCAGCTTCTACGATTTCATTCAGGAGAAATGAGCCTAATTTTGACAACATGCTGCATATCTCAGATGTCACAGACATCTTTTTATAACTGCTATGTTTGCCTTCCTCTTTAGCTTTTTTTTTTTTTTCCTGTTTGTGCTTCAGGATT